CCATTGGCGGGTACATCTATCCTGTAAATGTCAATCTGAATTTAGACAAACTGGTTATAATATCTATTTTCGACCAAAAGGTAGTGAATTTGAATCCTCATGTTCACATGTGTATTGTAATGGTGTGTTATTTTTTGTCCGAGTTCGATAGCATGTAAGGTGCAGATTTAAATATTTGACCTTTTAGGTCGATGTTATATGTCTTTACTAACCCTTATTAAAATTTYGACAAATAGGGAGGGAGGAATGCATGAAAGATAATAATTTTTTAATTTTCTCAGAAATAAAGAGCTGTCAAATTTTTAGTAACAATTAACAGGAAAATAAATGATAAATGATGAGTTTTATAAGTGGGAGCGTGACATTGAAAAGAAATTTCTCACTTTAGGGGTTTTACTTTCATGTTTTTGGTTTTTTTAAGAGTTTTGAAAATTTAATTATACAGGTCCCTTTATTTTAGAGAGAGAAAATATGGAAAATAAAAATATCCTAAAAAATCAAACTTTACCTATCAATTTTGAAAGATATATATATTAATATTTATCATAAATTTTTGATTAAATTATATTACAATCTTTAATTATTAATTAAATTGGAAAAAGTGTGGCAATCCTATAGTAAATTTATTTTGACCTTTACTGATCGATTTTCATTTGAAGAATCGTTAAAAGATATTTTTTTAGGTGCATTCGTGTATTGATATATAAAATTGATTGAGCATTTTCTTTCGGTGATAATTCACAATTATCGTAGTTATTGAATAGATGATTTTGTGATCAAACTGAATTCTGTACCAAATTTGATTTTCATTGGGATTAGTAAAATTTTTTAAATGTTTAGATTACTATTTGTTAAAAGTTAGCGAGTGGATCCGCAAAACTTAAAACATTTATTTTAACAATTATTTCAGACTAAAGATCAAATTTAATTAAATGGGAAATTTATAGGAAAAATTAATATACCTTCACAAATTAATTAGACTTTTTTTCCAGAAAAAAAAAACACAAATGTGAGAGTGAAATCGACCTACACTGGCACACATCTCAAGTAGTTTATTGCACATTAATAGAGCTAAATATATTTAATGGTCTCTAATCTTTGATATTTTTCTTAATTATGGTCCTTAATTCTTCAAAATTCTCTTATCAACTTTACTTTCAATGTATTAAAAATTCTCAATTACATCTTTACCTCAAAAATTTTGTTTAAATTTGTCAACCAACAAAATTAATGTGTCACCAAATTATGATTTTATTAACATATTTAAACACGTGGACTTGCTACATGAACATGCTACTTAAAAAAAAAAGAATTTTCTTCATAGGTAAGTCGTATTTTATTGATGGGTGTGTCAAGTTTCATGTGTAAAATAAGATAAGAGCGACATGTGTGCTCGTATCTAAATATATTATTAAAATAATAATTTATTGATTTATCAATTTTTTGTTTTTAACAAATTGTTCATGGAATTATTGTAATTGTGAATTTTTCGTACGCTAAGAATAAAATTAAAAATTTTAAGAGATTGAATATCAACCTGATAATTGACTAAAAGAATATGGACCGATCTTGTATACTTACCTAACCCTTGGTAGGGTATTGCTTTAAAAAAATTTTCTTTTTGCTCTTAATAATTATATTTGCTTGGTTTGTGGGTTCTTATAAAAAAAGGTAGGATAGAATATTTATCAAATTAAATTTAAAATAAAAGTAATTACTACATGTACAACAAGAAAAAAAAATTATATATATATATTTGAATTAGGCACTAATTTCTATTCAACAAAAGTAGAATATTTTAATATGCAATATTGGATGGAAATTCAAATTTTTATGATGATACTTTAATCAATTGAATTTTCGTTGAATTGGCATAAAAACAGAATGTTGGGGTATAAATGTCATGTAAAAAAATAGGGAAAAGGCAAGGAATAAGATAAAATAAATAATTCAGCGTCACTAAAATCCAACATATAGTGACTTCTGTTATAAAAAAACAAAATAAAAAACATATAGTGACCTGTGAGAAAATTACACGCGGGACAAAAGCCAGTTCTTTTTTTTTTCTTTTTTATATAAGAAAAGATTTTAATTTCCCTCATTTTGGTGAAAAAAAAAAGTTTGGAGAATCTCTGCCTACGTCACCTAATCTAATTATTTTCATTCTCAATTCTCTGATTATTGAAAAATTTTACCAAACCCAGATAATAAAATATTGTCATTTTCATTCACAATTCTATAATTATTGAAAAATACTACCAAACCAAGATAATAAAATATTGTCATATCTGTCCTGTTCATAATGATTAAATAGGAGGAAAAATAATGCAGATTTTTGGAGGGTAAAGAAAGATTTATGGACGATCCATGAAATTTAAATTAAGACCAAATCGATAATTTAGCCAATTTAATATCCCGTTTGTTAATGCTAAAAAAGCTCACATATTTTCAAGATAGAGTTTTTTTTTTTTTTTTTACCAATATCAATGATATGTAACATATATATTCCTTGAAATAATATAAGACAGTTCACATATCAGAGTACAACTTAGTTGATAAGGGTTATTACTAAGAGTGCACATAAATATGTCGGTATCGATTTAGGCAAAAATATATTTGAACTGCGTAAAAGGAAACGAACAGAGAGGGGCGAAAGTTAGAGGCATAGAAAAAAAGAGAAGAAAATTAAAGAGAGACATTAAAAAAAACAATAATTAGAAAAAATATATTTTAAAAAATTTAGTGCACTCTACTGTGTGAGCAAATGAGCGGTAACGCTTTCTCAATAATTACAATCAGTAGTGTTAATGTAATTTTTTTCTTCAAGTATCCTATATTTGCTAAAATGATTTTGACTTATCGATAGATAGACTGACTGATTCTTTGATTTTCATATTGTGTAAATCGTTTTTTTACCGAACTAGTGGTTAGACAGGCCGACCAACGTCAAGTCGATCGAATCGGTTATTCGAAAATTTTTGTTCATCCCTAGTTACAACCATCTCCAAAGATCTAAAAAGAAAGAAGAAAAAAAAATATTAATGTGATCGATTATTATCTACCATTATGAATATATAGCTAAAAGATGAATTTTCATCCACCGACATAAAACACAAAAGCACTATACCATGAAACATGAAAAAAGAAAAACGTCTGTTTTTTGAAAATGGATTTTTATGGGGTAGTTTTCAACTTTTAATTTATAAAATGCAGGTAAAATTGAAATTAATTAAAACTTAAAATAAAATATCCGACAGTTTATGAAGTAAATTTAGAAGTTAAAAATAAAATAAAATAAAATAATGCCATTATTTAATAATCAAAAGGTGAGTATTGCAATAATTATTGAGTTCATTTTGGATAATTATGAAACTAAATATCTTTTTTTTTTGTCAATAAAATATTAAAACTATTAGTCAAATGAATAAATTCATACACTTGGATATAAATACGTTATTAAATCGACACGGGCAATTTATTAAAATGTCTGACATGTATTATTAATTTTATGTAATTATTCAATAAATTATTAAAAATTATCGTGTAACTTCTTTTTTGGTTGTTTTTGTAGTGTCCAAAATAGCCACAACCTATTTTACGTGTAGGTAAAATTTGTCAAATTGTCAATATTATTATTTTTGGGACTATTTTGTCATTATGCTAAATGACGATTCTAATACGATTCCTTTACACAAAAATAATAATAAGTAGGGGGAAATGGAGATTTTATGTGGCCATAAAAATGTTTTAATTTATAGAGGAAAAAAAAAACAAATTTATCGAAAAAGAAAAAGAAAAAGAAAAAGAATTAAACCCATCAATGAGGCCAACAAACATGTGAGTCTTTTGGGACCACCAACCTGGTTTTCTTTAAAGAAGTCAATAATAAAATAGGTAGCATTCACTTTTAAATTATTTTTCTCCAATATATATATATATATATATAACCATATGATAGCTTTTCAAAGGGAAAAAAAAGGACAGAGAGTGAAGATAATATAAGACATTTCGAATATCAAGATGATTTATTAGCATTTCAACTATTATAAATGTGGGATATGTTTAGTTAAAATATTAGAATTTTTATTTTTCTTTGCATTGTCAAATGTGTGTTTGGTTGGAAAAATAGGACATTCAATTAAAAATAAAATTGTATTTTCATGTTTCATACCTTCCATAAGATTTGGAAATTGAATTTGAACTTTAAAAATGGTTCAAAGTATATTTAGTAATATATTTATAAATGATAGTTACCAATTAAATATAATTTATTTATTAACATATATGTTGTAAATTTTATGTTATTATTTTACAATATTCATATAATTTATAGTATATGATGTTTTTTATTTTAACAAAAATGAAATAAGTTTATAATACGAAATAATATATTTATTAAAGTATTTTTTATTTTGGATGATGCATTTTAGAAACAAACCATTTTCGTTACAAATTCATGAACATTGAGCCGATGACATTCAATTTGTATTCAAATAAATAAAAATAATGGATCCCGAAAAAATTCTCTTGCTCTAGTCCTTTGAAAATTAAAATTGTTCCATCATTGCCAACTCACAGAGCTCAACTACAGTCGGCAGTGTAGTAAACAAAGCATCCCGTGAAACAATATTTTATAAACATGTTTTTCTTCCGCACACCTCGTACTGTGGTAGGTCCCAATTCTTTTAAATTCATCATTATTGGTTACCATCGCCAGCTGGCAAGTGCCGCAGAGTGTGAAAAATAAGTCCACCCCTATTAAATTTCTGTCAATATCCCGACATTTTTATATATGACGTTAGCACAGTAAATAAATGGATCAAAATCTCATAATATAATTAATAATGGATCAAAATCTCATATTATAATTATATTAATTATATGAGACTTTTTGCTTTTGAGATTTGATAATACGTTTAAGAAGTAAATTTATGCTAAAAGTGGATGATAGGAGAGATCAATCAAAATTTGTTGACCCAATATAACTTTTGATAAATGTATGTCACATAAATATTTTATTTATATTTCCATAAAATGAAGAGACAAATTTAAACATTGATAGCTATTAACATAAATGATGCAAAAAAGAAAAAAAAAAAGATCACAATACTCCACTTTCCTTCTTCCATGAGTAGCGTTGGGGGTAGGTGAGAGTGAGTATTATGAACACAAATGCCCGACGTTATCCATTATTATGCCCCAAAATAAAATAAAATAACTCAAAAAGTACAAACGACATGTCGTTCAACACCCACAGGGAGGAAAAATCCCACATTTTAAACAGAACGGATTCTGTTTTTAATTAATTAACCATTTTATTCATTTTCGTGGCTTCTTCTTCTTCTTCTCGTTCTTGGTTCTTGTTTGCTTGTTTGTTCTACTGCTGCTTAACCACCTGCTGTATCTGCTGTTGCTGCAACTTCTCAAGATTCACGAGCGAACAGGATCGTGACACGTCATTCCCCAATGGAATCACCGGCAGATTGTCGCAGTTGCAGATCTCGATCATGAAACCATCAGGATCGTGGAAGAACAGCTGCTCCACGTAAATTCCCCCTTCCTCTACGACCGCCCGCACGCAATCAATCCCCATCTCCTTCAGCTTCTTCTCCACCGCCCCCATGCTCTCGCACTGCTCATCATTATACCAAAATTCCCCCAATTCCATTTTTTAGGGTTCTTTTCCCTCTTAATTAATTCACTAATTAATTAATTTCTCTGCTTACCTGGAATGATATGTGATTGTCTTTGGGATTAATCTCGCCTTTCTTCGGCAAGTTTTCTGGTTCTTCGGATTGTAGGAGATGGATTCCAATGCCGAAACCGAACAGCCTGAAACACATTCAGAAACCAGAAATCAGCATCATCAGCACATCAGATTTCAGAGCAGAGGATCGGAATTAATTGGAACAGAGGAATTGAATCGAAATTTCACCATGCGCCGTCGAAATTGAAGGATCCAGGCCGACGAATGGGGAAAAACCCTAGAACATTCTGGTAGAAATCGATTGACTGTTCCACTGATCCACAGAGAAGCGATATGTGGTTGAGCGACTTGAGACTCAGAGGATTTCCTTGGATTTCCTTCATTTTCCCGGAAAATTTGAGAGAAAATTCAGGATTTGGAAGACAATGGAGGAGAAAAGAGGGATTTATGAGGAAGGAGGAAGGAGGAAACAGTATTTCTTACGGAAAACGGAAATCCACGAAGAACACGGAGATAGTTGGATCGGTTTAAATAGAACTCGTTGGGCTGCCCCATCTCTGCCACGTGTACAATTTGCTGACGTGGTAGCTAACTGTGGATATGACACGTTGCTGACTCGGATCATGAATATAAAGCTACAAAAATTATTAATGATTTGAATATACTATAATACTATACCCACACGTCAGATTCTCATACTCACCTACTATAACCTCTCCCAATTTTATTTATTTGTTTCTTTCCTCTCGGTTTGTTTTCTTTTTGCAATAAAAACAAATACACATCAATTGTAAATCAAAGGATTTATTCATTACACTCGTTGATTAGAATTGAAATTGGATAATATTCTTTTCGTATTTTGTCAAAAAAAAAAAATTCAATTTTGACTTAAGCAACGGAGTGTGTGACTAGCACGTCATGATGTGTAATATTTCAATTTTGTGGGTTTTGTCAAATCTCTTTTATTTTGAAATAGTCAGTGCAAATTTTGTAATTCTCCCCAAACCAAATTTATCCATCAACAATATTCACTTAATTATAATTTTAGTGATAAATTTCAACAAATCACAAATTTGGAACATCATTATTTTAAATTAATAACAAAATTACATATTATTAAATTCAATATCAATTATAAATTGATATATGTCTCCGAGAAATAAAAATTGAAAAATTAAATAAAGTCATTAGTCTTTTACAAAGCCATAAATTGGTTTAATCAGATAATTATAACACGTGGCAGTTGAGTCTAAAGACAAATAAATCCAAGTATACTAATAGAAATTGGGTAAAACTCGAGTAAAATCTAAAATTCATTAAAGATTACAAAGAGTTATCAAGACGAGATCAACTACATGAGTGCAAAAGCTTAAGGTCAACTAATTTCAAGATTCAAGTTTGTGCAAGACCCAAATGAATACAAGTCCAACAATTGAGTCTAAAATCAACTAAATCCAAGTCTACGCACGGCTCATGGAAGATTACATGATCACAAACGATGATCCTTTATTTGCATGAAAAATAATATTTTTAAAGGGTTAGAAGTTAGAGAATTAGAAAAAAAAAAAAAAAAACCAGAAATTATGTCATTCATCACGTAATTGAATAATAGAATATTGTTTTACTCATTTCTTCATTAAATTTTAGCCTACCAATTTGAACCTAATTAACCTGATCAGAAGGTCATGAATTAGAGTCCCTCCTCGCCTCATATGTTACTAAAAGAAATGTTTTGTTTTAGCCTTGGAATTTGCATGATTAAATATTTTAGTCGTTAATTATTATTGATCTTTCATGAATAATTTAATAACAAAAGTTTATTAGAAACCTTAACACGAAACCTTCAACATCTGGCTTCCACTTCAAATTTTACTTACGTAAATATTTATTTTTCGGTAAATAAACAAATAATAATTAATCAGAAAATATTAAATCTTTCTTGGTTGTGGTACTTTTTTGTTTTTTTTTTTTCAATTTTTGGAAGTTTTGAATCTTCAAAGATATAAAGTAATTTCTCTACCAGTTAAAGCTACGTACATGTCGGATTTTCAACCACAATTTTAGAACAATACTACATATAGCTAATTTGTATCAGTGATTTTTTTTTTTTTAGTTTATCAACATGTGGGAGATGCCAACATAATTGGTACATGTCTCTAATCAAGAGATTATAGGTTTGAATCTCTCACTTTCATTTATTGTATTAAAAAAACATGTGAGAGACGAGATTTGAACGCAGATCTTTTGGACGATAATATATTTCGTAAATAGTTAAACTATGCTCAAGAGGAGTATTAAATAGTTTTATAGTGTATCTACTTTGTATTATAATTTTACAAACACATCTACTAAAACAACCCTTTTTTTAAAAAATACAAATTAGATCAAAACAGTTTTTTCAAGGTACCGAAATTAAAATAGACAGAAGTTTAAACTACAAAAACCAGAATATAGTTTAACCAAAAAAGAACTCATGCTAAAGGATAAAATAGTTTTTAAATAAAATATTTAAATTTTATCCTATGGAAATTAAGGGACCAAATAATTTAATTTTTCTCGAAAAATATATGAACCACAAGATCCAAGATACTTCCATCCGACTTTCTCTGATGACGTGACTTTCATTCAATCATTCTGCGTAATGAAAAATTTCATTATAAAAACAATTATAATTTTTTTTTATATAGTTAATGGAAACAAAAATGATTCGATTCATATAAAAATTTAAATATCAAAAAAGAAATAGATATAATTTGGATTAATAATAAAATTTTATTTCAGCTTCAGATTGTGCTATTTGGAAATTCTAGATTTTTTTTTAAAGAAAAATCGGAATGCAATAGAAAGTGTTATATTTATTTTTTCATAAAATAAAAAGAAAAGTGTTTTGAAGATATTTTTTTAATAAATAAATTTAAAAATATTATTGTGGGGACAAAATCCATTCCGATTGATAGGTTGGACATATAAACTAACTTTGTGTAACCATCAGTCAAACCCTATTTGAGATCGAGACACCTCGAATTAGACCGGAGGTATGCACATATATTTTCATCGTTAAAATAATCCTACAAGTTGCTAATCTTGTGCAGGACACCACGGGGAGGAACTTTTAAGACTACGACACAACTGATAAAAATATGTCATACCGTCTATCTAGAGATAAAAATATGACTATCTATTTATCTAATTGGTCTAAAATTAGGAAGGTCTAATATTTACCCTCAAAATTTTGAAATACCTATTTTTTTATTGATTGATTATGATTTAAGCATCATAATTTCTTGAACTAACACCATATTAGTGGCTTTAAGTTTCTAACTACCCTTTTTTTTAGTAATTTACTAAAAGAGAGAAGACTTTTCTCCCACTGATGAAGTCTTCCAAGTTTTATAGCAGCACGTTTTGTTATTTTGTTATTTTTATTTTTTCTGTTTTAGTGTTTAGCTTTGTTATCTTCTTTAATATATATATTAGGTATATATATTCCATCTATTATTATACATTTAAGAAAAGAAAAAAAAAACGACAAAAGCGAGTATAATTCACTGATAATTGGTATGTACCTCAAATCAATAAAAGAAAAAGAAGGTAAGGACTCTCTCTTAAAAATAATTTAAGAGACAAACAATTAAAAAAAATCATAGAAACACACCCGCATGGTTTTAGGAATTCTTTATATATATATATATATATATATATATATAATTCTTTTTGCTTGAGGGGATCTATTTTCGATTAAAAGAGAGCCCATTGCGTCTTGTTTTTGTTTGATTGACCTATCTTCTTTCTAGAAACAAGCTCCCCCTACAAAGCTGCTTTGAGAGCGAGGGAAGTTGGGAACGGGCTGAAACTTACTATTCGGCCGCCTATAGATGGTAGGGTAGGATGAGTGTGGTATCGCTCAGATTGTGGCCAATCTTTCTAATTGCACGCGGACCGTGCCTAAATACGTACATTCAAGTTCCCTAAATGTTGTACAAAAGAACCTTAAAAGCCGACCCCCGAAGAAAGCCCACCACGTGGGAGCATTTATTTCTCTTTCCAAATTACAGCCAGAATTTTCTTTACTCCCATTTTTCTCTTTTGTTTTTCTTTTCAAAATAAAAAATTATGGAATAGAATGATTTATTCTATTTTATTTTATGAATTTTACAATGTTTCTGGTTTTGGAATTTCAAATTATAAAGTAATAATTCAAGTTATACTTTAGTTAAATCTGGACAATTTTTTAGATTACACATTCTCTTGGAACTTAGTTCATCATCTCTCATACGTCTAAAGAAAACATGTCACTTAAAATAACAATCTAAAGGATATTTAGAAAGATTTATTAAAAATTATAAGGGTTAGAATTGAAAATTTTATAGTTACAAATACTAAATTAACACTAGAGAAAAACCATAAGAACTAAAATGAAAATTTTAACATTTATTTTTATAGCAATATTTTGTTATTGGTTAAAATACTATAATTACACCCTCAATCAATCTTAAAATTAATCATGTTAGTTTGAAGTTAATTTTTATCTGTATAGGCAAAAAAATAATATTAATTTCTCTTACAGAAAGATACAAATGTGAAAAATTCAAATTTCTAAACAGACGGTGCTACTTTTATCGTAACACTTTAGAGAAAATTTTCATGAATAATATAATTTAAATAAATATTATAAAAATAGAGTAGTTAAATTAAATACTTTTTCAAAAAATATATAATATTGACAAAAATGAGATATTTTTCTGTCAAAGTTAACACTACATCTCGCGTATAAAATTGACATGTGAAAAATCGGTGTTGAATCAACAGTGTAAATCACTGTATTATTTTCATATTTTTTACCTTCACTAAATTAATCAAATAAATATTTGAAGCTTGATTTTTAAATCCTTAAATGCATGCTTAATTTAATTTAATTTATATTGTAATGATGTCAATACAAAAGTTATAAGAAATTTTAAAATATTACATAAAATTGATAATGACTCACATGTTTCGCATTGTGGTTGTTTTCTTACACGAGCTCTATAACGAGATCGAGACACATCAATATGTGATTGATGGACAAGGAAATTAAGAAAATGATCTTGAGATATTTTTATAATTTTTTATTATTAAAGACCATTCAACTTATGGGAGGGAGAAAGAATAAAAAGAAAAATAAATAAATAAAAATGTTTGACAACAAATTAATCATATTTTAAAATAATTTATTAAAAATATAAAATATTTTTATTCATTCTCTATTTACATTTTATATAAAAATTAAAATTTTAAAAATAAGCTAAAACAAAAGTAGAATATTACATCTTTATTATTATTAAGATATTTTGGAGATAGATTTGATTTTCTTTAAAACAAAATATAACTCTACTTAAATATAGAAATGTATTTTGATATTTTTTAAGATAAATACAAATAATAAATTATTTTGGCTAATACGAACTTAGGTCAACTGTAATTGTCACTCGTCTTTGATTCAGAAATCATGGGTTCAAATCTC